AAGAGAGCTAAAAAAAACTTCACAAAACAAACAAATCATAACATTTTTACGGATTTTCTTGAGAGCATTATTTGACATTATTGGATAATCGAAATCCTCACATCGCCAAGTGACTCCGTCTTTGGTCTGTCTTCACTTGACTCAAAAATGTTTTGCTTGCCAGTGTTGCCCATGGTAGTAGTGGGGATATTTGGTGGTGGATCTGCAACATCTTTCCCTGAAGTCAACCTGATCTCAAGTGCTCTCAGGATCCGTAACTCCGTTACGATCTATGAAGAAGGAACAAATATAATCACGAAAAATCTTAAAGGAAAGGAAACATTTTAGTCCTATTCTACTATGTAAGGGACAGTTTTAAGTCCAGATATAACTTTCTAATATCTAAGTCACTATCAGAAATATTTCATGAAAGTCAGAACCACCTGAAAAGACATCTTCAATTTTTTCCCTTCCTAGTTCATTAATTTTCACATCAACAAACTACCAATTGCTAATTTACATTGAAGTAAATATTTAAATTCCACAATACTTTACACAAAACAAACAAATCATAACATTTTTATGGATTTTCTAGAGAGCATTATTTGACAATTGACATTATTGGATACTTGAAACCCTCACCATCGCCACGTGACTCCGCCTTTGGTCTATCTTCACTTGACTCCTGAAGTCATTAAACCTGATCTCAACTGCTCCTCAGGACCCGAAACTCGGCTAGGATCTAAAAAGAAGAAAAAAATATAATCATAAAAAAGCTAAAAGCAAAGGAAACATTTAAGTCCTATTTTACTATGTAAAGGACAGTATAAGTCCAGATATAACTTTCTAAGATCTAAGTCACTTTCAGAAATATTTCATAGAAGTCCTAATCACTTAAAATGACATCTTCTTCATTTTTTGCCCTTCTTAGTTCATTAATTTTCACATCAACAAACTAGAAGTAATTATTTGAATTCTACAATACTTTCCTCATTTTATATAATTGTTACATAAACTAAACTGAATCCTCGACTCAACAAAATAAATTTACCAATAATTGTGGAAGCAATTGAACTAGGAGAAGTCATTAAATTGGCAAACCTGAAATAGTACATTTATATTGTTGTTACTGGATCAGATCAAGGAGAATGTTAAACAAAACAGAAAGGAAACGTTTAACACTAAAGAATCAGGCTTTGCAACTTTACAGCCAAAGAACCATTTGACTTTTAGGGAACTGGATTAATGTCGAGTATATTCTGCAAAAGTCCTTTCTTAAAGGGGTGTGTAAATTAGTATAATGAAAAAATGATACAACATGACCTCGTATGATGTAGATATACATGTAATGTAACGGAAACTAATCCTCTGATCACATAAAAAGGTTGTAGCATGCAATATCGAATACTTCAACAGTGGATAGTCAACGCAATGATGGTATCTCTTCTTTTAGACAGTTGTCAAAAGGTCAATGCTCCACTAAAGAGACTCATATACCACCGCAAGTTAGACTCAATGCGCTGAAGACACGAGGCAAATGCTATAAATACATGCATTAGCAGTGAGAGAGAGAGAGAGAGAGAGAGTCACAAAATTCATGTAGCATATGAAAAAAGAGAAGCCCAAAAATATATTGTGTAAAACTCTATCAAGAATCCTTTTTCCTTTGTTGATTAGAGCTTAGCAAATAAATATCATATGCAATCCCATAAAATTGTGCGGATGCATAGAAATGAGAGAAACCGACAATCACAAAATCCATGTAAATAAGCTCAAAATAGAATTTATGAAAAACGTTCATCCAAAAATCAAGAACCATATTTTATTTTTATTTTTGAATCATTAGAACGCACAACACAAAACGTTAGGGTGTCCTCAACTAGGAATTTAGTGGATTTTAGAAGTCCTTGTAAATTTAGGATTTCCCAATAGAGATTTAATGGATTCTATTAAAATTCATTAAAATCTAGGTGTCATCAACTGAGATTTTAATGAATTTCATTAAATTCATTAAAATCTAGGTATCCTCAATAACTCGTGGATTTATAAGGATTTCATTAATAAAGGGATTTCAAGAGATATGGATGAATTTCAAGCTTAAAAATATACATAACAAACTCTTTTGAAATATCACGAATTTTAATAAGATTCTTGTGGATTCTGTACATATCTAGAGCCTATTTGGTACAGATTCTCACTCTCTACAGTAACTCAATTCTCATTTTCAACCACACATTCTTCAATAAAATAATATTTTCCATCACATCAATACTTTTTTCTTCTTTTTCAACCACACATTTCCCATCATATCACTATTCAAAAATCAATTCTTCCCTCCAAAAATCCCTACCAAACACACTCCTATTTGAATTCATGAAATTCGTTAGAATTTATAATCTTTTAAAATTTATTAAAATCCTAATTGAGGACCCCTCTAAATAGCTAATGCATCATGCATATAAATGAGAAAAATTCAAAACCACAATATTCGTGGAAAAAAATCCCAAAAAATAAATTGTATCAACAACGTTCCTAAAAAATCTAGAATCCATCTTATTATTTACTTAATTATAGTCAGTTTTTTGTTTATTTAAACTAGTGTGTAAAATCATCTTTTTACATTACTGTAACAGAAATTTTGGACAAAAACCATCATCAAGGACCGAGAAAAGCTAATTTGACAAAAAATGGCTGGGGATGGTGAGTGCACTTTAGCCATTAAAAATTAAAAAAAAAATGCAATAAATTTAAAAATTAATAAGCTTCACGTACATTAAGCCTCTGTTTAGAAAATTTATGATTTATATATAAGAATAGTAGCGAATCCTATGAAGATAATACATGAGTAGTAGTTATGAATGTATAATTGAAGTTAATTTTGGACTTTAATTGAATTTATATAAAAATTTATCAATTGGTATCCAAACGGAGGCTAAAAGGTTGTGAATAGCGAATGCAATTATAAATAACAATTAATATATATTTTTCCTTTCAAAAAGGAAAAGATTTCAAATTTTACATTTACCTGTTTGACAACCATTATTTTAGAACTCTTTAATTTTCATACTCATTTTCAACCATATATTTACACAATAAAATATTTTGTAAGTAAACTCAAAAATTTTCTCAACTTTTTAAGCATACATTCTCCAAAAAATCATTATTCAGAACTCCGTTTTCTCAAAATAATGGTCATCAAACAGGAGCTTGATTTGCATTAAATGCAAGGTGTATTAAGCCATAAATGCAATAAATGCAGGCTTCATTAAGCCATACAAGGACATGAGTATCCATTGTCCCCTCATTAAAACTTTGACAACTCATTGCATTAACTCTCATTAAAAATTACAAGACGCAATTCCAAATGTGATGTCTCTAGTAGTGTATTGTGTTGCGATCTTGCTAATTGAGAGTTCATGTATGGAGGTGTCAAATTTTTTTGTTGGAGACAGCTAATTTTTAGTTGCCTCCAAGCTCCAGGGTGCCGAGAGAGTAACACTCATTCTTCGGATCATGTTAATTAGGGGAACTTTTTCATTTTGGAATAAATAGACACGTGTGGGTGGGTCGGTTCAAATAGGCCCGCCCATGTCCGGAGTCAACACAGCTTGAATGTGCCGAAGTTCAAGTTTTAAATTTTTTTAAAAGCATAGACCGCCTGTTGGCCCATCTAAATTTGGGGCAATCCGATCTCATTGCCAAATCTATTGTTTTTTAATTTTAGAAATAAATTTATTATATATTGAAATGGAGTATTAAATTAAAGTCAAAGAAAAATGATGTTAGGCTCCCCAACCTTTCACATAGTATAATTATGAGTTTTCAACCTTCAAAGTGAGGTTCTATATACCCAACCTATTTAAATTTATGAATCTAGGTACCTACATAACCGAAACCATTAATGTAGCGGTTAAAATCGAATGCGAATTTCAATTGAATTGGATATAAATGTTAGGTGGTTTGATGATTTTACCATATAGCTTTGGAGTCAAGGGATAGTCGCGTGCGATTTTAACATGTTGATGTTTTCAATCACGTGGGACTTATATTTAGAGATTTAAATAAGTTGGGACCTAGAACTTCATTTTTGAAGGTTGAGCATCCATAACTACACCACATGAAAAGTTGTGGAGCACAACCTAATTTTCCTTTAAATCAAGCAAATTTATATAAACAAGGAAGCTTAGTGGCAAGATATTAATGTCATAATTTAATCATAAAATGTTGTTGAACTTGCTTTGGAACAGCCTAAATCAAGGCAGCATTAACACTTTGATTTACGTTGCAAGGCATTAATTCTACCATGAAATTGTAATCAAGGCATGCTAACGCCTTGGAATTCTAATAAAGAAACTAAGTCCTTCATTAACACTTCCAAATCAGATTTAATCATTGCAAATTTAATTGTAGTTTCAATATTTTTTTATTTATTTTTTTTTACTTCTCTGAAATACTACAGGCTCAGCCCAGTTATCAGTCTGAGCTATTTCCAGGTGGGCCTGCCTGGTTCGACACCTCTAGGAATATGCCCCCCAGAGAGTTGACATTAAAACAAGCATTCAATTAGTATTAAATTGTTTTCCATGGGTAAAGAGAATATTCTCTTTTCTGACCACTCCAACTCAAGGAGAAAGCAAAAGGGCCTTATTGCTAGGACCCAATACTCATTGGTCACTTCATTTGCTCTAACTCATCTTCTATAGCATTCTCTAACCACTCTAAAATTTCACCTGTTTCTAGGCTACCTCAAAAGCCAGCTACAAAGAAAATCCAGTCTCTATTTGCAAAGTCAACATGATACAAACGATAGAAAATTAAAGTCATATAGAGTTTGGACAAAACACTTACACTCCCACGTATAAAGGGGACCAAAGTTTTATCCATAAACTGGGACATCTCGGAATCAAAAGCATTTCAGTAGTCCCAGTCTTAGCCTAAGAAAAGCTTGATATTCTGCGAAGCATGGTTCAGAACTTCCAGTTGGTACATAATATGCTAGAAAGATCAACCAGAAAGACATTTCAAGATTTTCCATACTTCTCAATGTATCCCTGCAATAGTGATAACAAAATGTCAAATGTAAAGTAGTTTATATCAATCATTCTGTCTCAGTATATATAATAGTGTAATTCTAAGCACTAACCTCAACTAGCTTTTCTATTTTGGGCTGAGACACATAAAGATAGGACTTAATTGATTCACCCGTGCTAGGAATTTGGTGCGGTGGTTGAAATGAGCTAAGAATTTTGTCAACCGCCTTCTTAACTATCAATTTGTGAGCGTCCTTGCTCAAAAGGCCCTCAAGCCAAGTTGGTTTTACCAAATCCTTAACATGTTCCACGAGAACAGCTCTAAAATGTTTCATTTCTTTTGATTCCTTCTGCAGATATCCACTGTGCTCATTCTTTTGACTGACTTTACCCAAGTCTGGCTCCGTCATGCGAATTGATTCACCTTGTTTTCCTGAATCACGACTCGAACTCAATACGATCGCCTTTGGATCAATGTCTCCGGTCGAATGTAGAACGTCACCACCAGAAATTTTTGAGACCCCATCTCTAACTTTTGTTGGCTCAATGCTATCACGAACGGGGTCATGCAGATTTGCTTGAGACAGTAATTTTTGAGTGATAAAGTGTGATGGACGAAAAGGAACAGATGGCTCCCAATCATCAAAAGACGTCCTGGTTAAATGCCCAGTTGATGCATCCACAGCTCCCTCCTTTATATGAAGGAATCTACAAGTATTCCCTTTGATGCACCATCCCTTGGCATGAAATTCACATGCAATCCTCTGTCTTTTAATCCCACCTGTCAACTCAATGTTTGATGAGAAATCTCTTGGCCTTGTCTGGGAAACGTTCAGCCTGACACTAGACGTCATCAGGGTTCAATTCTAGTGAGGGGGAAAAAAACAACTATTAATTCAAATAGGTACCTTTGTGACATTTGCATTGTGTTTGCTGCCGCATAATCTTTACTGTTCAAAGCATTCATTCTTCCCCGACTGTCACAAAAAGGCTTTTCATCACAGTCTTTCAGAGTTCTTTTACCTGCAAGAGCCTTACGGTTATTTTTCTGAACTACTGATTCTTATGATAAAACCTAATAAAATTTACACAAAACGAACAAAAAATAACGTTTTTATGGTTTTTCTTGAGAGCATTATTTGACACTAGAAATGCTCACCATCTCCACATGACTCTGCCTTTAGTCCGTCTTCACTTGACTCAAAAACTTTTAGTTTGCCAGTATTGCCCAGGACAGTGGGGATATCTGGTAGTGGATGTGTAACATGTTTTCGTGAAGTCACTAAACCGGATTTCAAGTGCTCTTCTGGACCCGTAACTCTGCTAGGATCTGAGAAGAGGAAACAAATCGTCACGAAAAAAGTTTAAAAGGAAACATAAGAGTCCTATTTTACAATGTAAAGGACTAATAAGTCCAGATATAACTTTCCAAGATCCAAGTCACTTTCAGAAATATTTCATAGAAGTCCTAACCACCGAAAAGAAATATTTTTATACCATTTTTTCCCTTCTATTCTCAGTTCATTAATTTTCACATCAACAAATTACTGATTGCTAATTTACATCGAATAAATTCTTTTAAATAGTCCAATATTTCCTCAGTTTATATTATAACAATTACATAAACTGAACTGAATTCCCAACTCAACAAAATAAATTTACCAATAATTGTGGAAGCAATTGAACTAGGCGACTAAGTCATTAAATTGGCAAACCTGAAACGCTGTTATATTGGAATATATCAAGGAGAATGTTAAACAAAACAAAAGGAAACTGTTACCACGAAAGAATCGGGCTTGCAAAATCACGTTTGTATGTTCTTTACAGCCAAAGAAACAGCAATAACTATTTGTTAAGTATATAAAGCCATGAGAGAGCATCCAAAACTCCAAAAACCAATATGAACCACACAACAGAATGAAAGCACAACTAGAGATTTCCAATGGCATCGTGTGTTCCAGCAACTTGTTAAGCTGCCATCCTTTCAGCTGCAGACCCTTCATTGGCTCTTTTTCTTATTAATTTCCTTAGAATGTCACAGGAGTCACTAGATCTCCATTTGACTTGTAGGGAACTGGATTCATGTAATCTATATTCTGCCAAAGTCTTTCCTAAAGGTGTGTGTTAATTAGTATAATGACAAAATGATACGACATAACCTTCTTATATGACGTAGATATACATGTACCGGAACTAATCCTCCGATCACATAGAAAGGTTCCAGCATACAATATTAAACACTTCAACAGTGGACAGTCAACGCACTTGTGGCATCTCTTCTTCTCGCCAGTACGCGTGGAGCTGAACACGGGATGGAAATGCAATAAATACATGCATTAGAAGTGAGCAATCAACGCACTTCTGGCATGTGTTTTGCCAGTTGTCCAGATGCCAATGCTCTATTTGTAGGGTAAACGATCATTTCAAATTAACAACACTCAAATTATACAGGGACTTATGTGCATGACAAAATCACAGGTGAGAAAAAACAATAAATGCATGCAATCACCAAACTGGACAAAAAAAAACAGTGTTTAGAAAGAAATCAAGGGAAATAAATATCATATGCATTTCCAAACAATCATGTTCGTGCATAGAAATAAGAGAAACCCACAATCACAAAATTCATGTAAATGAGAAAAAAAGAAGCCCAAAAATAGATTTTGTCAAAACCATTCCTCAATAAATCAAGAATCCTTTTTTTTCTGAATAATCAGAGCATAGCAAATAAATATCATGTGCATTTCCATAACTTCGTGTGGATACATAGAAATGAGAGAAACCCACAATCACAGAATTCATAAAAAAACCTGAAAGTAGAATTTATTAAAAAAAAAAAAAATTCTTCCGAAAATCAAGAACCATTTTATTTTTATCTTTGTAAATTTGAAGGATTAGAACGTATAACATCAGCGGAATATAAATATCTAATGCATCGCGCATATATATGAAATGAACCCAGAACCACAAAATCCGTGAAAAAAATCCCAAAAATTAGGTTGTATCAACAACTTAATCCTCAAAAAATCAAGAATCCGTCCTATTTTGAATGATCAAGCCGTTAACATAAACCCACAATCACAAAATTCATGCAAAATAAAAATCAAAACCCTAAAACGGATTTTATCAACGACATTCCTCAAAATAAAACAGATAAAGTTCCCACAAATTTCCACAGGAAAAAAATAATGACACGGCAAAAGTAGTTCGATTTTTAAATCAATAGTATAAAACTAACCGTTTAGATTATTTTCTTCCCGAATTGGAGTTAAATCTTCTCCAAAGTCGTCATCTTTTTCTTCTTCGATTTCGACCTCTTTTCCGACCTCTTCTGCATCTTCGTACTCCATTTCAACATCATCGTCAATTTCGAAGGTTAAAGGATGGCTGGTTGCTAGCAGCGGATCATTCACCGCAGCGGTGGAGGAAGAGGGGTTCATTTCTGTTTTGCGGCTTGAGAAAGTGACAGCAGACAGCAGTCAAAGAGCACTGTGCGGCGTTACTTTCTAGAGTATTATATTCTTGTGAATATATACGGTCAGCACCACGGTACAATCAGTATGGTCCAAGCTTATAAATCTACTTTTGTTGGAAAACTCCTTTACTCCATTTTCATTTTCTTCATTAAATTCTCTCACTATTGAGAAAATTACGGGAGGACTCGTGTATTTCATTTTGATTTTTTTTATATGGCAGGTAATCGGGGATGTACGTTGCGTTCAAACTTCTTATAAATGGGTTATAGTTTTACGATTTATTATGAATGCTCTCGTGCTTCCTCTGCAGACGAGCATCATATGATATACTTGTTGAGTGAAACGGAAACTTGATATTAATATACTTTGTATGGTGCTCTTTAACTCTACTCGTAAAAAAACTTGTAGCAATATAAGATGAAATTTATTGTGGGTTTCTCCAAATAAATAAACAGAAACAAGACAAATTTACTGTAGATTAATCGATGGCATGCCCATAGACTGATTGTAGTTTAAGTTTTACGAATGAATTGCTCTGTGTGTATTGCTTCAAACTAGAATCATGATATCGTCGAGCGAAAATGAGGACTTGATATTGATTTCTTGTTAGTTATACTGCATTCTTTGATTTTACCGTGAAGAAATGCGCGGCAAAACAAGATAAATTTGATTTTACCATTATTTTGAATGAATTTGTCTCTATTTGATTAGGATAATATAATGGGAAATTCGCAGTAGTGGTTCATAATCTTTCACTTTTTTGCAAATTTTACTCTAACATTCATTTTGTGCTATCCACAGTCTCAAACATTTCAAAGATATGCACCTGGGTCCAAATAAATGAAATCGTTCGTTGACTAAAAAAGTCAAAATTTAATCAATTTTGACCAAATTAATCATTAAGTGCGTGTTCGATCTTGCTTAAAATTCAATTAAAATTGAAAATATAGTCGTTACAATAATGACTATATTTTCAATTTTAATCACATTTTAATATCTATCGCACACACCCTAAATGCCATTTTCGGATTTTTGGCTGTGCATCTGCAGTTATTAATTCGCTATTTTTGTAATTCGGACTTGTCTCCTTTGTCCGAACATCGAGGATTCCAGACGACCAATCCACAAGATGCACAAAAAGACTCACGTCAGATTTCCTCCTTTTCCTATCTTGCCCCTATATTTTACACTTCGTGTTTTGTAATTTTAACATTGCATACTACATTTTATAGTCATAATAGTGAAAATGATAATAATAATAAATCTTTTCCTAAAAACAATTTTGTCATAGTAATTATATTACCACCACAAAATTCACTTACCACACCACAATTAAAATATATTTTTAATAAACACACCGCATTGAATTTATCATTATACTCTTAATCCAATAAAAAAATCATCGCAGAGTGCCCATCATCTTTAAAACACAAGAAATTAACAATTACAGACACGTTCTTTTCCTAATCCATATGTGCTACTTTCTGTCGCAGATTCCAATCCTCATTCCTCACACATAATTTGATAACCAAAAAATGGCTTCCCATTTCTAATTTAATTCACAATTTTTGTAACATATTTCAAATCACAATTTCTCTTATTTATTTCATCTGTCTACTACTTTGTACAGGAGAGGATGTGTGGCGATTTCACAGGGTGCTGCATCCAGCATTGTGAGAGGAGGACGGGTGGCTCCTAATATGATGTTAAAGAAGGGAGTTAATGAATCAATAAAGACCTCATGGGTACTCGACTCGATAACCGGATATTGCAAGTCGGAGAATGAAGCCAAGGAGATTGACACCGCAGAGTTGCAGGCACAGCTCTTGAAGAACACAAACAGTAGCCACTAAAATCGAAGAATTATAACAACCTGATTTTGGCTCCATTTTTTCTGACAATTAAATGGAATCCTTTGCATTTCTCTTAAAATTGTTCTACTGTTTTAGTGAATAGGATATATGAATTGCTGTACATCCTATGCCATTCACATGCCCTGATAATTTCAAGATTGGTTTTTTCAGATTTGTGTTCAATTGTTGATGATAATCGCAAACCTAAAACCAAGCTTATGCTGCAGATTTTGTTAAAACCTATTGATGTTTGAAAAGAAATGTGATTGTTGTTTCAAGATTGATGTTCGAAGAGAAATATGCAGATTTCAGTAATGTTGTTTTACAATAACGTCTCTTTTTCAAATGACTTTTTTGATTTATAATTATGGCGTAACAATAAAGTTTTTTATGTAATAAATGTATGGAAATATCTACTTGTACATCACAAGATGTACACGAGGGTCTACACCCTCCTCACATGGGGGGTGGGACCCACTTGGATAAAAAAAAAATTATGCAAGTGGGTCCCATCCCCATGTGGGGGGTGTACACCCTTATGTACAATGTGATGTACATGTAGCAAATCTATATATATATTTAAACTCTGTTTATATAATTTTACTTAAGGTTATTTAAGTAAATAAAAAATGTTTACAATTGCAGTGTAATTAGTACATTTTGTGGTGGTAATATAATTACCCTTTTATCATTAAAAACAATTAGATGGACCAAAATACCCACGAACAAAAACAAAAGATCACATAATTTGTATTAAATTATGCAATATTACTTATCAATTTTTATATTCTCCAAATGTTCAATTAATATTTCATTTCTATCTCGTGATTTATTCTTTTCTTTCACATTAATATATTCATCCATAAATGAAGAATTATTTTCTTTTATTATACTTTCTTTTCGTTGGTTACTATTTTGTATAAATGCTTTGGATCTCTAAGTTGAATTTAGAGTGAATGAAACAAATCTGAGTGAAAACTGCAGCACCTCTTAGTTGCACAAAATCTTCTTCTACAAATTGAATATGGTATCAGAGCAAGTTATCCTGAGCCTAATCATCTAAGTTGTTGTCAAGTCAATGCCAAATTAAATCATGGCTACGGAAATGCCATATGAACGAACTGATCTTCTACCCACAGAACAAGGAGCATATGAGAAAGATTACAACAATGGAGATCCCTTAGATCTTCGAGGATCAGATCACCCAGGAATGGTATTGGTGACTTCACATTTAACAGGTAAGAATTATTTGAGTTCGATTAAAATTACACTTGGTGCAAAATTGAAATTTGGATTTATAAATAAGAAATGTGAAAAATCAGCCGAAGAATCTTCACAGTTCGATCAATGGTTTAGAGTGGACTGTATGGTTAGATATTGGATATTGAATTCAATCTCGAAGGAAATTGGGGATGCATTCATCTACACAACTTCGGCTAGAGACTTATGGGTTGAGTTGGAGGAGAGATACGGGGAATGCAACGATCCACTACTCTATCAATTACAGAGAGAGATTAGTAGTTTAACTCAAGGATCATTATCGATTGAAAAGTATCTCACTAAACTCAAAAAACTGTGGGACGAAATCACATGTTTGATGCCCATTCCAGTTTGTACTTGTCGAGCTGCAAAGGAAGTATTTGATTTAGCCTCATTCAACAAACTTATGCAGTTTTTGATGGGGCTGAATGACACCTATGATAATATCATAAATCAGTTGTTGGTAATGGATCCTTTACCATCAATTAACATAGCATACTCCATTGTTTTGAGAGTTGAAAAGCAAAGGGAGGTACATATACTTTTTCCAGAAGTTACTGATAATCTAGCTATGATGGCAACATGAAATAATTACAGAAGTAATGGACATATGAGAGGAAGAGGAATCTAGACTGGAAGGTTTAATTTCGGAAGAGATAACAATACTTTTGGAAGAGGAAATAATAAGAGGTTCAACAATTTTGATAAGGAAACGTTATTCTGTGAACATTGCAATGCAAATGGACATTTAAAGGAAGGCCGTTTCAAGTTAATTGGTTATCTAGATTGGTACAAGGGATTAAAGGAACAAAGAGCTAGAGAATTTGGAGCAAGAATCGTGGTAAATAATGTAATGAACATGAGTGATTCACCACTTGATCTTGAAGAAAGGGCAGCTGTGGTGAATCAAAAAAGAGAAACATCATCTGGCAGTATCACAAACATTGTGCAACAGGAATTGATGAAAATGCTCAAAGGAAATTGCTGGTAGACAATGGAAGTCAGATCAATTTTTCTCATCTTAACGATTATTCTGGTATGTGTACTCAACATTTGGCCTTTACATCACTTGATGATTTAGGATGTAAAACTTGGATAATTGATACTGGTGCCAACAATCATATATGCACAGACATTAACCAAATGACCAATGTAAAACCTGTTGCACAATCCATTGCTGTCTGTTTACCAAACGGGTCTATTAAGCATGTTAAACACATTGGATCCATCACTATAAATCAAAGACTTCTCTTAACCAATGTATTGCATGTTCCCACATTCAAATTTAACCTTTTCTCTGTCCTAAAATTGACACAAACTGTAAAAGTTAAGTTCATTTTTTACCCAACTCATTTCTCACTACAGGACCTGAAGGATGACAGGACTCTAGCAATTGGAAAACTGAATGGGAAGTTATATACATTAGATGATTATAGTTTTCTGAACACAGAGACTGAAAATTGTAATAGAGAAGTTAGTTTTTGTAATAAATTGTCTGTTGGGAAATTGCAACTTGGTGATGATACTTTTCATGCAAATAAAGCTTCTTCTATTTCTATTATTGATTAGCATAATAGGTTGGGATATGCTTCATATCAATGTTTACAACATTTAGATTTCCTCAGTCAATTGTGCAATGCTTCATCCATAAAAAACTTACAGCCATGTGACACTTGCCACAAAGCCAAACAAAGCAGATTGTCTTTTCAAAATTCTCAGATTCATACCAAATCCATTTTTGATTTGTTACACATTGACATTTGGGGTCCATATAAACAATATACACCAACAGGAACTCCTTACATGCTCACCGTTGTGGATGATTATTCTAGAGCCACATGGACCTTTATG